ATGGGCCTCTTGGCCATCTGTACATCTTCTTTGTAGAAATGCCTAGTTAGCTCTTCTTCCCATTTTTTGATTGGGTTATTTGTGTGTGTGTTTTTGAGTTGTATGAACTCTGTAGTCTTTGATAACAGTCTCTTGTCAGATATGTGGTGAGAAAATATTTTCTTGCATCCAATAGGATGTTTCTTCATTTTGGTTACTGTCTCTTTCCCTGTACTGAAGCTTCTTGGTTTGATATAGTCCCAGTTGTTTATATATATGTTTATCTCCCTGTTTTCCTTGTTGCTGGGGATGAATCTTTAAAGATATTTCTGAAGTTTATGTCATAGAGTGCTTTCCCTATGTTTTCTTCTATGTATTTTATGGTTTCAGACCTTAACACATGTCCTTTATCCATAATTGTTCTTCATTAATAAAAAAAATAATCAGCTTCCAGTTTGAAAAAAGAAGATCCTTCTAGCATTTGTGGGGCAGGCTGAGAATAGGATTCTTGCTTTCCAACTGTGCTTTAATGCTACCCTACAAATGTAACCCAGTGGACTTGAGAGTGGGTAGTAGTGCTTGAGGGTAGAAATGAAGCAGCAGGCATGGGCTGCTCTGATCATTATCATCATAATTCCTCTTGCTGCCTTCCTGGAGGAGGCATCACATGGCCTGCAAATGGTTGTGAAAGGAGAATACCAAGCAACCTGTAATTTTATTTTTTTTGTAACCTGTATTCCCTTGTTGGCCCCCTTCAGCTCCACCATAACCTATATTTTAAATGTTTTCTTTGCTTCACTCTAACTTCTGTGGTCCCTTCCCTTCATGCAAAAAGAGACAGTAAAATTTGTACATAGAGTTAGATCTATGTGGTGGATCTGTGTCTTAACAGGACATAGTGTTAATCTCACCGCTATTAATACTTAGTGGATTGAAAACCATTTGCTGTTGCTGTTGCTGAATGAACATGAATATTAAGATTACTTCTTGTTCCATTGTAGTTTGACAATAAAACACATGTTTATTAAGTTTGGTAAGTCTGATTTAGAGGGGGTTAATTCTTACTGTTGGTTGGGCCTTGAAGGCAAGATTAATAGACCTTTAAAAGTGAAATAGCTCAGAGTTACTGATATCATTATCTGTTGAAGGTTGCTATAGCAATGGGTGGTTTGATTGCACTGTGCCATTGGCGGTACAGTGGGTAAGTGTAAAAGGATCCTAGTAATTTAGCAGAAACTCTCTTGGAGCAATTTAATTAAACTCTAGTAGAATGAGTGCCAAATTCTTTAAAAGTTCTGAGATACAGTTCTATACAGTCCTAGATTAAATATAATTTCTCCAAATCCATACACTGTCACAACTATTTTTCATGATTTTAGAATAAAGGTTTTATACATTTGGAATTATTTTTAAAAATGATGAGGTACAAATTTTATGAAGACTTGTCTGTTTTAATATAGTCTAAGGTATTTATCTGAAAATGAAACAAAATTGCATTAGATTATAAGGAAAATTATAGAATGGCAACATATGAGGATTAGCTTTTTGAAAGGGGCAGGAAGCTGGAATGTAAGCATAATACAAGGACTGAACACATCCTTTGTTATTGCAAATTTCATTACCAGATCCTATAGGCGTCTCCATTAGCCATCTTGAATAAAATGTGTACTATTTTTCTGTATCAATGCAGGAGGTACAGAATTCTTTGGAAATGTAGAATCGTTGTTGAAGAGCTGACCCTTATAGCAAGAGATTAAAAGCAAAAATAAGCAATTGGGATTACTTTCAACTAAAATGTTTTATCACAGTGAAAAATACAAGTAGATTAAAAGCATCCTTCTGAATGGGAGAAAATATTTATACATTACACAACCAATAAGTGATTAATATCCAAGATGTATAAAAAACTTGTAATATACAACAACCGCAACAAAACAAACCAATTAATAAATGTGCTGCAGACCTAGACAGATAATTCACCAAAGAGGACATCCAGAAGATCAGGAGTTATGTGGAAAAATGTCTATAGCTTTTAAATAAGGAAAATGCACAGAGACATGATGTCACATCTATGAGAATGGCATGTATTGAAAAAAAAGTGCTAGACAAGATACAGGAGAGGAGGAACCCCATTATGCTCTTCATGGGAATGTATTCTGAAACCCACTTTGGAAAATGATCTGGATTTTCCTTGAAACACTAAAAATGGAAATACTTTATCACTTAGCAGTTCCACTCATGGGCATCTAAAAAATGTGAAACCATCTACTCAAAACACATGTTCTACAATGTTTATTGCAGCACTATTTATAATAGCTAGGGCAAGGAAGTAACCTGAATGCCCATCCAGAGAAGATGGATCAAGAATGCGCTGTATACCACACTATGAAATACTATTTAGTCATAAGCTATTAGGTAGCTCTCTTACAGCAAAATGGAAAGAATTCAAGGGAATTCTTTCAAGTCAGAATGAGGAAGACAGATATTGGACCTTTTTATGTAGGCAGTTCAACTAAATAAAATAAAAAAAAAACTAGTAAAGGTAGCGGCAGAGGGTATAAGGGTAGTAGAAGAAATATTCCCTTTCTCTTAGAATCTTTAATAAAAGTTAGCCACCACCAAAAGAATTATTCTGCTTTAAAATCAGTTTTGAGTTATAAGGTCAAAGTAAATTTAATGGAATAAAAACAATGAAATATTTTAAGTGAATGTCAACATTTTATTTTATAATCTTACTTTTGTGATCAGTCATATAATTAGACTATTTAGTTTTTAAAACGTAATTTTTTTTAAAGATTATTTATTTATGCAAGCACTGGGTACAGTCAGAAGCACGGGAGGGTGAGAGAATTCACCAGAGCCAGAGCGGAGAGCAGAACAGGCAGACCAAAGAAACACACTGCTGAGGGGAGCAGCGGGAGTGGCAGGAGAGGTCTGCGCGCCATGTAGGACCCTCGCCAGTGGCCGGGGATAGAACAGGCACTGCAGAGGCTGCGGGAGGCTTCGCAGCCCAGCGCTCAACCACTGCACCACCAGGGGAGGCCCAGTTTTTAAAACATATTTATGAAATAACTTTCATTTTAAGAAAAATATAAAAAGAAAAGCGGAATCATTGTCAATAGCACATTCTCTGAAATGACCTTAAAGAAATAACTTGTAATGGGCGACATAAAAATGTTCGTGGTTCTCTTCGTGTCTAATGAAGACGGATCTGTTAAAACTTGGGTTCTAGTTACCCTTCCTTTTCTTAATACCTTGGTTTCATCTTTCCCAGTCACCCAGCTCTTAGAGTTTTAGGTACACATGTTTCTAAGCAAAACTCTTGCTATGCTGCAGTAACGTGATAAGCACTTTAGTAGATGCTTCACATCAATTTTCTGTATCTATGCAGTGAGTTGAAAAGCTTTCTTCTAACCTAGTGTTTGGTCTTTGGCACTTAAATAACATTTTTTTCTCCTGTCCTTCCTCCCACCCCATTATGTTTATTGAGGTAAAGTTGGTTTACATCATTGTATTTGTTTTAGGGGTTACAGGTTCAAACCTCTCCAACTGTGTGTTTTCAGACCCTGCCCACCACCAAAGCCCCAACTGAGTCATGTAGTACATGCAGACGTTACTCTGCTGCCACCTGGAGGCCTTGCTGGGGTGTGCATTTAAAGACACGCAGATGCTAAAGCCTCCCAGCCTGGATGTCAACTGTGTCTTGTCTTTAATACTGTGGGTAAATTGACATGACTAAATGAATTTTAAGCTGTTGCCTCAACATTTTTTTTTTCTCATAGACACTAAATTCATTCTGCATTCAAGAGCAATATTTTATTGTGTGCAAATATACTGTTGCTGTAAAGTAGAATCAAAATGATTGTTAGGCAGATTTTTTTAAAAACACACTATGACAATGGTTTTGATGACTTCTCTGTTCCATCCTTGCTTCATTATGACTCATCATGAAAAGCCATATAAAAGAATACCTTATACTTTTATACTTTTTCTAAGGAGAAACATGGATGAAAATTCCTGACATTATTTCTAAGCAGTAAGATGAGCTTGAATATGTACACTTGGAGGTTTGAGACCTTAGGTGACTTAAATGAACAGGAGAGATGAAGCACAGTTTGGGAAGGTCTAGTTAATGTACCTGCTGGGTAAACTAATAGGGTTTCCCCAGAATCAGCATCAGGCAGAACCATGCCGCAGTGCCCAGAGGATCATATATTAATGCAAATCCCGGGTAAAGATTTTTAAGCCCTCTGCCCTTGCTAGGAGTATCCAACACTTATTTTCCCCAGGCCCAAACCTGCTATTGGTGGTTATTTCCACAACAGTGGCTCTTGTTTACAGGCAACTGAGTATTTGGGAGGAAAACTAATCAGGTGAGACAGAGAAAAATACCCTTAAGTGAACCTTTCTGCTCATCCCAGAACATCTCGATCACAGATATTTCCAGGAAAGCCTTTGTTCAGAGAGAGGGCCCCCTGAGGGGACTCAGGAGTGCTCAGCCTGACGCTGTCCGAGGTTGGAGGCACAGGCTTCACTGGTCTTCTCAGCTTTCAAAGATGCGTGAGCAAAGACCAGTCCTCACCTAGAACCAATTACACTCTTGAAACATATGAGATGTTGGTACTTGAGAGGATAGACATGTGGGATTTCCTCAGGTGGGAGCAAGTCACCTTCTTAGAATCTGTGCTGTTTTGAAGAGCCATTGGTCAGTGAGTAGTCTTTTTTCTAATTCAAGGACATTTATTTATTGTTTTTTGCTCAGGATTTCCGGTGAGAGGTGCTGGGCTTGTTTACATCTTGGTCCACACAAATACCAGAGTGTGGGCAGTTAGGTTATCATATTTTCTCCTCTGTGGGGAGTTGATTTTTAGAAGCTTGATCTAAAAACCTGGCTCCATGTACAAGGCTTCTGGGCAACTTGTTTATATTGTCATCTAGTTTCTATTTTCTATTCTTTTTTTCTTCAAAAAACCCCAAAAGCTTCTATAAGCATATCCTGATGAGAATTATTCCTTTTCCAGAGATTAAAAATCTGGTGTCCAGTAGATCACTGCCTGACGAAGATGTAAAGGTAAGGAATCCCTATTCCCCTTTTTTCTTTGCATTCTCTCTCCAGAGTTGAAGAGGTAATGATAATAAAAATAGATGGAGGAAACCACCCCCCCAAATGAACAAACCAACCAGGGATGTACCTCAAGTTACCTGAAATTCAGTTGCCTTTATTGAATTTTCAGTCTCTAATCTTTATGACCAAACCTAGCTCTCTTTCTAGGTTGTAGTTGTATATGCAAGATGATTGAATGCATTTTCCAAAACAAATTTATACTTGCAGATAGTATCTATAGATGTCACATGCCAGCAGTGCGATCGCAAGCACAAACCTGGGACATATTCTGAAAATAAAATAACCTAACGATAGCTGTCAGGCATGTTTCAGCTTGGGACAGATCTGCTCCTTATTTTTATCTCTTAAATAATATTCATTAAGTATAAGACTGGTTCTGTTTACATGTTGTAATATGTGTAATGTGTCTTTATTAGTATTTTTCAGAGGTTGATTTTCCAATTTTAAAAAATGGTGTGCCATATAATTAGTTTCTAAAAATCCTGCCTGATTTTTTCTTTTCCAGTGTGCAAAAAGCCTGGCAGTTCAACTGAGTGAACATGAAGAGCAGGACAGTCTAGATTCCGGTAAGTTCCAAAATGTTGTTTTCCTCCACATTCATAACGGTATCAGAGACCTGGGTGTACAGAGGACAAGAAGAAAATGTATTTTAAAATTTCTTACTGGTAGGCTTGTCTAATTCTTGAAATCCACCCAGATTTCTTTGCATCATCAGTTATAATGCTGTGACTTCAGGAATTGACTTTCCATTTTCAATCTAAAAACAGAACAAAGAGCAAAAGCTTTTCCTGAGTTGTTTTTCACTCTGAACCATATGCTGGCTTGGACTTGTCACATGTTATCTTATTCCTGTGACATAGGAATATCAGCTTTAGTTTCAGGTGAAGTGATTGAGGTCCCTAGTTGGGGAGTAAGTGGTATAATTGAGATTCATAACTTCATACTGCCCTGTCCTAGAACCCCCAGGTTGACCATGATCTCACTTTGATACCCACTGTGTGTGTGTGTGGAGGAAGGGGCACCCTTGCAACTGAGCCTGTGTGATCTTGCTCCCAACCTCAGGAAAAGATGAGATGCTTGTTGTGGTGTGTGGGTCTGACATGGGAGCCCTTTTAAAGGAACCAGGAGCTTCCTTGGCAAGGTGAAGATAGTTCCTTCCCTGAACCTGGTAATTCTCACCTGTACACAGACATTTTAATTCACAACTCCCTGAGGGCATCTCCCTAAATGTCCTCCCCAGGCATTTTCTGATTCTTCTGGGGCTAATCTGGGCTAATGCAAAGACTTACCCTTTGTGTTAGGGGCCAGTGAAACTATTGGGGGACTCTCAGAAGATGCTTCCTCTGGGCCCCTAGATGGTCTGTGAAGACCTTTAGGGCTGACAAGATGGAAGCAGATTAGCACAAACCATCCCAGGTTTTTTCTTCAGGCTCAGTGAAGCCTAGGCAGTTTATACACTGGGGAAGTAGTTGGGTGCCCTTGGCAGAGGGCAAGGTGGTGATAGCAGTGGCCAAGTGCTCTGGCTGATGTGAAATCAGGGAAAACCTGGGCAATGTCGAGCAAACTTAATAGTGAAGGTGTCCTGCCTGGGGAGCCTGGTGATGCAGGTACTTGATGGAGGCCAGGGGAATGCTGTTGACACAGCCAACAGGTACACCACAGAATAGTTAGCACAGTTGGGAAATGCCAGGGAATAAAGCAGGTCAAGGAGGAAGCCCCCTTAGTGTTGGCTGGCTGTGTTTCTGGTAAGCTGGCCACAAGCCACAGGTGATTTGCTAGATCTCCTTGCTTGGGGTACTACTGAAATTGCAACAGAAACCTAAACCATATCAAGCAATATGCATGCCTTTAATATTTCTGCTATATAAGGTAAGAGTAATAGTTGATGTCCAGAAGAGGGAGAGGAGGGAGAAATGAAAGCAAATGTCTCCTTATAGACGACCGTTGTGGGCCACCGAAGCCAGGGGCACAGCCTTGCTCACACATACAGGATGTCTCGTCTATAAATTGCATCATGCTCCCAGGAATGTTAGCTTTGAAGCATGTTTACCAAGACAAATTGCTGCTGGAGGAGGAGTGCTGGCTGTTGAAAGTATTTAAATAGTAGGATTATTTTGATTTTAGGCTTTTAAAACTGCACTTACAGACAGGGACACTTGCTGGGCGAGGAGACACGTGTTGTGGAAACTGGTAGCCTGACCCAGTCTGAGTGTTGTGACGGTGACAACATTGTGTCTCAGGAGGGCTGTGAAGGAGCCCTGTGATTTGAGGGAGATAAACTTTTGACGTTAATCCAATGATTTATGAAAAGGGCCACGAATGATAGTTCCTTGTACTATCTATTATTGGCTTTTTCTGTTCATTTAAACTTTCGGGATCAAAAAAACTCCCCAGATTTCATACAAAGAAAATGGTAACAGGTTTTAAAGGAATCTTCTGAGACAGAGGAGGAGGTAGCAAGCACTGAGTGGCAGGCAGATGGTAAACTGAACTCTGGGACAGGAACAGCTCTTCCCCAAGGCCACTTCTAAACTGCTAACACAAACTGTGTTGTTTCATATGTGCTTACATTCTGCTTAGTCTCTAAGGAAATGCTGATAAACACGGGAGAGCGATACATATCTTTACTGACTTGTATTATCCAAAAAGGTGTGCTGTGAGTTTCGTGTAGCCTCATAAACTACATTCGTGCTGTTTCAGTAGAACTTTCTGGATGATGGATGAGTTCTGTATCTGCTTTACTCAATATATGGTGTCTGTTAAGCATGTGAGGTGTAACTGAAATGACTGAAGAACTGGCTTTTTAATTTAATTTACTGTCCTGGTCAGGGCAGAACCCGAGTCAATTCTCTTTGTATGGAGTTATTTGCTCATCACAGCATCAGGAATCAGATCAGCCATTAGTTTACACATTGAAGATGTTGATTGAAGGAAGGCTTTTTGGTGGTAGGCTTGTTAGTCAGGTTCCTGATCCTACCTCTGTGAGTAGTGACGATAAGATGACGTTCGTGAGAGGTCCAGGGGGACCCCTGGAGGAGCCCTGCCCTTGGTGGGTGCTGTGAGTGCCTGCATTTTGCTCAAAGGGGAGAATGTCAGCTGGTGGGCTGGGATCTGACTTCTGTCTCAATGGAGGATGGAACTCCACATCATGCCTTTCCTTCACATTGTAGGCAGCTCAAGTGGGCAAAACTTGGAGGAAGAGAAGATAGATGAAATGGGCCAATATGGAAATTAAGAAGGAAGGAAGGATCCATTTGGCTCAAATGAACAGGATTAAATAGGATTAAGGAATAAAAGCTGTAGTGCCAAAGAAAGAAGTGGGCTTCTGGCAGGAACAAAGGAAGAGATTGTGGGAATAAAGCCAGATGAGTGAATTTTGGTGGGACTGAAGTCCCAATTGCAAACAAAAATACATAAACCATCACTAAATCAGCAAGCTGTAAATGGCTTCATTTGTTACTATCATGCAAACTCTATTTTTAAGAGGTTAAGTAAGACCATGTGCCTGGTTGAAATTAAGATTTCTAGTTAAAAGTTAAGTCAATGGGTGAGGACTGTGAAGAGTGTTAGCGTTTCAGGTGAATTACAGAAGCTTCTGGGAGGTGGCATTCTTGCTCTCTCACAAGTGTGTGAGTGAGGTTGTGTGTACAGAGCAGAATTAGTGACACTTGTACAGAAGCTAATTTTCCTACAATAATTTGCTAGCTATGCTCTGCATCGGACTAAGATTATTTGAAACTTACTTGGCTAAAACTATATTTTGTATATTTGGATGGCAAAATTAAGGAGTGATAATATTGACATGTCAAAACAAGAGCTGTGTAGGCATGTTTTAACTTTTCTGTTGGGGAAAGGTGGCAGGGACACAGAGACATAGGGAAGTGGTGAGGGCATTGGCTAGTATTGTCCCCCTTGCTTGGGAAGTTGTATTACCTCACAGCTCTGGGGCTTAAGCAGGGTCCAGTGTGCCAGGCTTGGCTGGCATAGTGTGCTTGGGGCAAATGCCAGGAAGATTTTAAACATACTGTCATGCTAAGTACATCTTTTAGGGAAAAGTGATTCATTTTTTGAATCATAGAAGTAATACTCGCTCACAGTAGAAACATTTGAAATTTTAGGAAGTAGAAATAAACAATCCCTTCAATTGCACCACTCTAAAGCAGCTTGTATTAAATTTTGGTGCCTTTCCTACCATATTTTCCCTATTTGTGTATTTTGTACAGTTATAATCACGCACTTGACAGAATTTTGTATCCTTTATTCATTTAATATTATATGCCATGTGTAAGCTCCATTTTACCAGGTAGCTTAAAATGATGCTGTACATTTTCCTACAAAACATATGATTACTTTTGTAAGAAGAAAGGAAAACATCAGGTTCTTCCCACAAGTGCTTATAGGTCAGAAAATAAAAACCTCTCTTTTATAATATGTATCATTTGATTTTATAGAGTGGTCTGGTTGTCAGCTTGTGCCGAGGCATGAATCACAGCTATTAAAATACTCTGGGTCACTTCATTGCTATTGTTTGTTACTTATATGTGATATGAGAAAAGAAAATCTGTTGGTGGATCTTGGGACTAGGAGAGTGGGCGCTAGAGAGACACATGAAGCATAGGCATGTGCAAGGAAACCTGGTTTGATACCCAAAAAAGCTCCTGCAGACTAATTGAGAAGAGAAGGAAGCAAAAACAGACAGAAACAAACAGTAGGAAGTGGAGGCCCTTCAGATGGTTCCACAGACAACACAGGCCTTTCATGGCTGCAGACAAGACCTCCAGGGAAACAAAGGCCCTAGAGGAAGCTTAGGGAAATGTCATCACAGGGGGGCTGATGGGAAATGATTGGAAGATCTGATGGAGCAGACCCTCTGGGCAGGATTTTAGGTGAAATGGGAACACTTATCAAGATCTCCACATGGGAGAGGTCAAGGTCCAGGTCCAGGTCCAGGGATTTCAGCCAGTCCGGCAGTGCATTCTGCAGTGCTAGTCTGGCAAACCACCAATAAGCAGAAGTAAAGAGGTCCACCTTTGTTATATTAGCTGAAAGATTTAGAAATGGAATTAATGCTACTAAGTTATAAAATCTTATAAAAGAACATTTTTAAGTTGCTTATGTAAATAAGTGTTGAGGTAGTTCCAAGATCTTAGGTATGTAATCTTAAGACCTAGCACCCATGTTAATGGAAGCTGGTCCTCTCTGTGTCAGCTGTTATTCAGTGTAGATAGGTGAGTATCTACAATGAAATCTCAAGAATGTTAGATGAAACGTGAAAGAAAATAATTGAAAAGGGTGGGTGGTAAGCCTTAGTGGAACTCTAACCCTTCTGAAAACTGTTTTTAAGACTAATCTTTGGCAGATCTCTCTCTGTGCCCCCAGATGCAGAAACTTCTGTGGATTCTTGTTTTTTTTTTTTCTTTTTTATTGGGGGGAGGGTTCCTCTCCCTCCCACAAACAAAGTTTACCAGTGACTTGATTTTGAAATAAAGGGATGGAAGATAAATTAATAGCCAAGAAGAACAGTGGGAATGCAGGGTTATTTGTGAAAGTTTGGACTCAAGTTTTC